TCTCCAGTGGTTCTTAAGAGGGCTACAGCCTGGACGGTTGGGAGAAACGCCTCCTCCTGGGCACACAGGCAGGGTGGTGAGCTTCTTCCTGACTGCAGGGAGAGGGGCTTCCGCTCCGTCTCCCAGTTCAGCCCTGTTTGCCAAGCAGACAGGGCATATCGTGAGTCTGCTCTGCTGAGCAGCTCCAGCCAAGATTCCTTTTTCTCCTCAGGACCTTTTAGTTTTGGTCTTTCCTGTCTTCCTCCCATCTGTAGTTGGCAGGGTAAAAAACAACAACAAACCAGCAGCCTGGTTGACCACAGGCTACGGGGACAACAGCAGCCTGGTCGACCCTGGAGGTCATCTGTGAATCCATGGCACTGAAGGCAGCTGTGGAGAGAGCCCTCTGCTTCCGACGGCTGGAGGCTCAGATGCTGCTCTGTGTGTGTGTGTGTGTGTGTGTGTGTGTGTGTGTGAAATGCCATCGCATCACTCCCAAATCACGGGGAGGTCAGGGGTCTGCATTTGGCCCAACACAATGGGAGCAGTAAGCCTGAGACGTAGCCATGGTGTGAGGCTGTTCATTAAGTATTTTGAAGGGAGACTCCTGCATCGGCCCCTGTCCTACCCTCACGCACCAGAGATCATCTGCCTCTCGCCCTGTGATGTCTGCTGGTGGAATCCCTTCCTTCCTTCCTTATATTTTACACCGTGTGTTTCCACCCTGTTTTTCTCCAAGGAGCACAGAGTGGCACAATCCCACCCCCCCTCCTCCTCTGTTTTATCCTCACAGCCGGGTGGAGTGGGCAAAGCGGAGTTTGTGTGACTGGCCCATCCTGTGGTTAGCCAGAAAGGTTCATGGTAGAGCAGAGATCTGAATTTGGATCTCCCAGATCTCCCAGGTAATCAAAATGGTTTACCTGTAAGGAGAAGGGCAGGAGCTACTAAGTCTGCATAGAAAGTATCCAGAACTTTCTTCTTTTCATTATCTAGCTGGACTTAAGGAGCTCTCCTAAGCAGTTCTACTCAGATGTATGTCCCCCGCTGTCCAATGCAGCCTACACCCAAGAGAGTCTCCTTCGGGTAGCCGTTGTAGGGCTGGAATCTCCACCAACTGCAGTTTCCACCCATTCCCCCTCTCTGCTGCAGGCCTCTCTCGTGTCATCCCTCGGGCTTCCCTGTTCCCCAGGAGGAGCGGCGTTGGATGGAGATACACGGGCTGTAATGGAAGGCGGGAGGGAGGGAGGAGAGTTCCATTCCGTCACTGGGAAATTTCATTCGGATCCAACCCAGTGGCCACCTTCTTTTCTCATACATGCAGTGTTTCTTAAAAAAATATTTTAACGGCCACACTGTGCTTTGGTTTTCAGCCGTCTGCCTAGTGGTTCCTAAAAACTTTGATTGTACAACTGATTGCTAACAGATGTGAAGGGAGAGAGGGTCTCTTTATAAATATATTTGCAAGGTGGAGTGCCTGCAGTAATGAGAACAATTGCTGTCTGTTATGGATGAGAACCAGCAGGGTCAGGAGCTGGGAAAAGCTTGTTGTCTATCTCACATCTTCTGATAGTTCAACAAATTGTCTCTGCTGTGGGTTCAGTTTGTACATTCTTACAGTCAGGTTTTTCACTGCGGTCCAGTCAGCTAATTGGGTTAACAGTAAAATTGCTCATGATGCTTATGTTCCCTCTGCTCCCTGTCTACCTTCTGCCACCTCCTCAGGGTAGCACAAATTTGGAGAAGCATCGCAATCTTCTGACTGCAGAAAATATGTGCCTGAAACAAGAGCAGGAGTTGTGTGAGGCAAAGCTACAAGAGTTCAAGAAGCAGCCCATGAAACACGTTGACTGCGAGCACTGCCAGGTAGAAAGCTTCTCCTTCCTGGTGGGGTGCTTATAGGCAGCCCGGTTGCAGTTGGGTTTGTTACAGTTCTCCCTCTGTGTTTGCTGCTCAGGAGAATGAGAAATTGCAAGAAAAGTTGGCCCAACTGAAACAAGAAACAGAAAAAGTGAAAGGTCGTTTGTCTGAGCTGGACCTGGAAGTGGAGCAGAAAACCAATCGGTTGGCTGAGGTTGAGCTGAGGTTGAAGGACTGCCTAGCAGAGAAGGCAGATGAGGAGGAAAGGCTCTGCCGGAGACTGCGGAACAGTCAGGAGACAATAGCCAGCCTCAAAGCCCAACCTCAGCAGATCAAGGTGAGGTGGACCTTGGAACGGTTGCAAATGAACTGTATACAGTGCTTTCTTGGGTCTGAACTAGACATGCCAACTTGCCACGTGACCACTGCTAGTTAGTTCCCTCAGGGGAACTTGTTTCCAAAATGTTGATGCAACGTGATTGAGATTGGGACTGGGGGGAGAAGGGATTTCAGCTTTCCCCCCTACCATTTTCCTGAGCCAGAACAGTTGCAGGGGGTGGGGGCTCCAGAGGGAACTTGGAAGAAGAAGAAGAAGAAGAAGAGATTGGATTTATACCCTGCCCTTCTTTACCCAAAGGAGTCTCAGAGCTCCTCTCCCTTTCCCTCCCCACAACAGACACCCTGTGAGGTGGGTGGGGCTGAGAGAGCTCTGACAGAAACTGCTCTTTTTCAAGGACAGCTGTGCCAGAGCTTGTGACTGACCCAAGGTCACATCAGCAGGTGCAAGTGGAGGAGTGGGGAATCAAACCCAGTTCTCCCAGGTTAGAGTCTGTGCACTTAACCACTACTTGGAGAGGCAGTATGACTGTCAGTCTCCATACTGGTCACTTGGCAGTTGTCACATCTATTGTAGCTCTGAAAGCTGCCTAGAAGGTATAATTGAGTCACCTTCTGAGAGCCCTTAGATGAGCTTCAGACAGAGATCCTGATGTGTTCGTAAGCTGGTTTGGTTGGTTTGTGGGAATGACCAGTGATTTGCCGGTGTGATCTTTCTTTTACACAGCTACTTGTTGTGGTTCTGGAACTGTGTTCTTGTCTCTCTTGCCTCACAGTACGTCATCAGAACTGTGCCAGTGGAGTCCTGCAAGACCCAGCAGGCTCTCTCTGAAGCCCAGTCCCAGAACCAGTATTTGCAGGAGCAGATTGGGATGCAGAGACAAGTGCTCAAAGAGATGGAGCAGCAGTTACAGCTCTCTCAGAAGTCAGCAGGCCAGCTCAGAGCACAGGTGCGTAACCAAGCCTGTGCAGAAGAGAGAAAAATAGGTGTAAAGAAGCTCATTTCAACTTTGTTCATAAATGTTGCAGCTATAAATACTTAGGAATGCTTGCCCCTCTCCCTTTTTATTTATTTGCTTTATTTGTTTGCAACCCACCTTTCTCCCTAACGGAGACTCAGCTTACATCATTCTACTCTCCCACATTTTATTCTCACAGCAATCTTGTGAGGTAGGTTAGGCTGAGGGGGCTGCAGTCGGACGTGCCATTTGGCGCAGAGGGGAAGTGCCCCTATTACCTCTGGTGGAATTTGACTCGCAGTTACGCAGTCACACATCCCTTTGTGCTGTGGGCTCAGCCCATCACTGCACTATGTTTGGGCGAGTGGGGGGGGGGTTGCCTTTTGTTTCCCATGCGCATAAATGAGGACTCGAACCCCCCCACAGAGGGCTCCCCATGGAGTATGCCGCTATGCACGTACTGCCAAGCGAGGGGGGGGGACAGCACTGAGTCAGGATGGAGTGGGCAGACCATCCCGCTGGCTTGAGGGATCAGACACGGGGGGGAGTCAGTCCGTGGCCCTTCGGCAAGGATCAGGACCAGACTTCCCTCGGTATCCTTTAGCTCTGCTTCTGTGGCAGGGCAGCACGGGGTGCCGATGGCTGTGGGTTGCTGGTCTGTCAGCTCTAAAGGCATGTTTGACCATGGCTGGGGTGTGACTGGCCTACGGTCACCCAGCAGGCTTCCATAGTGGAGTGGGGATTTGAACATGGGTCTCTCCTAGATCCTAATGTGACCCTTCAGCCATTATACCACGTGGGTTTTCATGATGCTTCTGGGTCTCTATGCCACTCCTTTATTTTCTGTTTCGGTTTCCTGTTTCTTTTTAATAACTGCTGATTTAATGTTGCTGTTATTTTTGATTTATAATTGATATGCCCGTTGTTTGTACTTTTGTTTTAGAATGGGTTGTTTTTAATTGATTGTGATTGTAAGTTGCCTCATGTACTTATGGTGGAGAAGTGACTAACATGTCAGGGTTATTTAAATGTTTTTTTGGGGGGAGCTACTTAATTTCTTCAAGAGCCTTGAGAGCTGCCAGTCTCAAGTTGGCTGCTTGGTGGGTGGAGCCAGTCAGAAAACGACTGCTTTTGCAAACATGACAGTCGTCCAGAGCAGGTCTGCAGGGCATCTGTGGGGGAACCTTTAGGTGGATTCCCAGATCTCCACCCCCACCCCGAATTGTAACTTTGGCTGCAGGGGGGAAATGTGTTTTCCTTGGAAGAGGCAAGTAGCAGCTTTGATGGAAGGAAAAGGCATACCCTGCTCACTCCTTGTCATGGACGCGTGACCGGGAGGAGCAGGAGGGAAGACGCTGATGCTGTTGTTTTCCCGTCCAGAGCAAAGATGCATGCAGATGCCTCCTTTTCCTTTAAAAGAGGGGAGAAGCTGCTGCAGTAGCAGTAACTTGCAAGAGAAGGGCAAGGAAGTAATTGCAGCAGCACTGGAAGAGGGGCAGAGAGCTATTTTTCATTGGTTGGAGAGTGGACTGAAAATAAAGTAAATTTTAAAAAATGTTGCATTGGGGGTTTCTTTGCTTGATCATTTTCAAGAAGACTCAGGTGTACAAGCTTCTAGTTTTCAGTCATACCCTGTGTACACCCTTTAAATGGCATTGTTTTCTTTGGACTGCCTCCTGACCCAAAGCAGCTAGCCCATCATGCACTCTCCACTCAGTGGAGGCTGTTTCAGAGGGTAGCCTGGTTGATCTGCAATTGAGCGGCTGGATCTGAGCCCAGCAGTGCCTTAGGAGGCCCATAAGATTTGGGGGCGGGGTGGGGGAATAAGCTGTCCAGGATCAAAGAGGGAGCTTGACTCACAAGAGCCCGTCGACACCCTGGAATTCTTGTTGGCCTCTGCAGTGCTGCTGGACTTGAATCTGGCTTATTATCACGCAGTGTAGCGAGGGCATCGCATCTCCCTCAAGCTTGACTGACTTGGCCTACGTAGAGGTCATCGGCAATATATTCCTGGAGCTGAATTATTTCCCATCAGTGTAGAAGAGACTGTTAGTTAGAAGTAAGGGAAGACAGAGACTTGGCTCCTTTAGGAATTTCATTGTGGCCCATTTTCTAGGTTATGATGTATGAGTCTGAGCTAGAACGAGCTCATGAACAAATGCTGGAGGAAATGCAGACCATGGAAGAGGACAAGAACAAAGCCATCGAAGAAGCATTTGCACGAGCACAAGTGGAAATGAAAGCCGTGCATGAGAACCTGGCAGGTGAATGAATGTTGCCTCTGAGGACCTGACAGAACAGCAGTTGGGGTGGGACACCTTCATGAAGGATCATAGCTTCCAATGGGTTGATTGTATTTCACTGGCATTTGTAGAATCTCAGTGTTATGTTAGAGATACTTTGAAGTTTCCTTTTTCCCTGTTATGGCTTTTTCAAGGAAGGGAAATTGTCTATGGTAATGGAAAAGGGAGTTTTCTCTGCATGGATCTATGATCTCTCCTTTACGCTTCTTTGTAGGAGTGCGGAAAAATCTTCTTACACTCCAGCCAGCTCTTCGAACTCTCACTAGTGATTACAATAATCTCAAGCAACAAGTCAGAGAATTCCCTGTTCTGCTTAAAGAAGCCTTCCAGAATGCCAAGGCAGAGGTCAGGAAAATCTCAAGAGCCATCTGCACAGTTTAAGGGTTGTGTTTTGGGTCAGTAGTGTGGAACTGAGCCTTTCCTTTCCGTCGTTAGGCTTGACACAAGTCATTAGTTCCTCAGTGGAAGACAGCTGTTCAAATAGCCAGGTGTGGAGGTGGGTACAATACCTGATATCTGTGAGCAATGTTGCCCCAGACTCTTTTGTTCTCTCTTGAAGGTTGAGCAGGCCATTGAAGAGGTGAATCGCACAAACCAGGAGCTGCTAAGAAAATACCGCAGGGAACTGCAGCTCCGGAAAAAATGTCACAATGAACTTGTGCAATTGAGAGGTCTGTGCCCTTCCTTTGGTGGCAGTGCAGAGATTTTGGTGAAGGGCTTTGAGTCCTAGTTGCCAGCTGCAATGAGTTGGGGGGCTTTGGGATTGGAAACATGGTTTGCAACGTACACTAGCTCAGGTAGTTTTGCTGCTGGCTCTCTGACAAAGACAGAATTTGTACACAGGCCACTTCACAGAAAGCAGGGTTTGATCTGGAATGACCCAGATGCCAGCTGGAAGAGGGTTCTTATTGGCTGAAATGGTCTTTGCAAAGGAGTTGGGGGCCAGGAAGGCAGTTGCTTTCAAATGTACAAACCTCTCTAATTCCCCTTTGAAGGAAATATCCGAGTATTTGGCCGTGTCAGGCCAATAACTAAAGAGGATGGAGAAGGCCCGGGTGCCGCCAGTGCAGTGACTTTCAGTCCTGATGATGATGCTGTTTTGCAGCTCAAGCACAAAGGGAAGCAGGTATCATTTGAACTGGACAAGGTTTTCCCTCCAGAAGCAACACAGGAAGATGTAAGTATTGCCACAGTATTCTGGGGCTTGCAACAGTTAGGGTTGCAAAATCTCCTGCAATGTATGAGAGGGGTAAATGTGGCTTGAATCACAGTGGTTCTTAACTGGATAGGGATTTCTGCTGGGGGTGGGGGAAAATTGGCTTCTTTACCTGAAGTCAAAGAGGGCAGGTTGCCAGAGCTGCTTCTCCCGCTACTTCCTCATCCTACTTGTTTAAACAAATTCTGGTGTTTGTCAAAGCCTGAGGGGGGCTCCATTGGACTGACGGTCTCATTAACACATATCCAGAGAGCCAGTCTGGCAGTAGAGGGAATCCCTTTGCTGGTATCTTACGCAGGCTTTGTTTCCAAAAGATCTTCCAGGAAGTTCAGTCCCTGATTACATCATGCATCGATGGTTACAACGTTTGTATTTTTGCCTATGGGCAGACTGGTGCAGGAAAGACCTACACAATGGAGGTGAGCGTCATATCTTTTTCTTTTACAAGCTGACAGTCTGCAGTTTCTGGAGCACAACTGAAATGTTTATGCTAGGAATCATGGGACCAAGTCAAATCAGAAAACCCTAGAAACAAATACCATCTAAATAGATTAAGTATCCATTAATAAGTGAACAATGTGTCTATTATTTGTGGGACATCCTGTTGTAAATTATAAAAGACCAAATATGTTTCAATGTGTTGTCTTTATCATAGGCGTAAAGTTCGTGGGGGCGGCGGGATGTCAGCCCTCCCCCAAAATTTTCAGGAAGGTGCTCAGCCTCCTCCGGGGGCAACTGGTTCCAGCCACCCTTGCTCCCCCCACCACATTCTGAAACTATGTTCAGCGGCTGGGTTGGGACCGGAAGGGAGGGAGGGAAGTTAGGGCGGGGGCTTGCTTCCTCCTGGAAGTGAAGCCCCACCCTCAGCTCCCAGCAGCCCTTAGTTCTGCCGGGCTGCATGTGGAGTCTGGCTTTCCTGGTTTTCTGTGCGCGCACACAAAGGTAGGAAGCATGCTTGCCCGGGCTCTCCCTTACTGCTGAGTCCTCGAGGCACATTCCTTCAGCCCGCCTCTCTGCCCCCCTCACCCAGCTACCAGTAAAATCAGCGCGGACCAGGAGGGTAACTTGGCCCGGCGGACTTGCCCTGCCGAAGGGAGCACCGAAGCTCAGGGGCTGCGGTCCCTCCCACATCCCGGATGGCCTCCACGGCACCTACTCCACTTCTCACGCAGGGCTGCTGCCTTCCTCTGATTCCCCTTCACTGCTGCTCTTGCTGCTGCACGCTGGGACCTAGTTGGCCGGTTTTGTAAGGGCATGGGTGGGTTGGGGGCCTGAGAGAGGGCAGTGTTCAGTGAGCCTGAGGCTGAGTAGTCCGAAGGAAAACTGCCTTTGCTCTCTTTGGAATACCCTTCCCGTCCTCCCCACCCATCTGTTGTGCTGCTTTTATTCTCTTTCTCGCCCCCTGTTTTTAACTTCAGTTGTACTTCAGTTTTGTCTGAGTGTGTGAGTGCCCCCCCTGCCTGGGCTTCTACTCTCTTTTTATTCCCCTTCTCCCCCCCTCCCCTCCTTCCCGTCCTCCCCACCCATCTGTTGTGCTGCTTTTATTCTCTTTCTCGCCCCCTGTTTTTAACTTCAGTTGTACTTCAGTTTTGTCTGAGTGTGTGAGTG